CCACAGTTTCTAAGTCCTATGGCAGTGGTGCTACCTGTAAGGATAACAACAACCTCTACTACACCCTTGCAACTCAGATGTCACATAGTGTGCTGCTTAACCCTCTCAAAGTCCACTGTCTCCTCCTGACACTCACACTTAAGTTCACGGGAGGACTGATCTGTGGACCTACCAGCTGAATCTTAGAAAGAATGAAGACTGTAGGAAGAATTAAGACACAATTTTCCCTGGTACAGCACTGTGAACAGCAAAACACATGCACAATAATAGGCATGTTGCACACTGTCAGGCAGTACAATGGTGAACTGGGTTTTCCTGCCTCAGAAAAGACCTTTTCATGAGAACTAAATGGGTTTGCACATCATTATTGTTTTTACTTTCTCTTCCAGGAACTATGAGAATTGACATCCCTACATTACGCTTAGGAATGGATGTGCCTCAGAAAGAACTACTGAATAATAATAGATATTAAAGATCTTAAACCTTTCATTTTTTAGGTGCTCCCAGAGCCTTGAGCATATTAGGCAAGAATTCTACCACTGAATTGTACCTCCAACCCTTAATACCTATTTTTTGTACATGCTTTGATCTATGATTTCTTTCCCTTCTTCTGTTTTATTTGTCAAGCTTGCAATGACTCTGTCCACTCCTAGAGAGCAAATATATACAGATGTATTTACTTTGGTGGGGTACTTTATTGTATATTTAAATCTATGGACTGAAAATTTTTTCCTTGACCATTTCTGCTCTTTCAGACAGTATGTGGTTCAGAAATATCCATAGATATTTGTTATAGGACCAAGGCTCAGTCTATTGTCACAAGACATATAGCAGTAGTGACTATACTCTTCATATACTGTATTACAAAAATACCAAATAACCTATTCATAAGACAAAGTTGATATTTTTAAATAAAGTTGAACAGGATCACAGTATCTCCACAACATCATTAGCGTTTCAGAATGAAAGACTTTAATAATATTTATTCTGATTTTGACACCTCACAAAGAGGATCTTTGAAGTTTGGACAAATTGGTTAAGATGAGGAAAGAAACTTGGCATAGTAGTTTAGGATTAATGGACATAGCAAGTCAAGGATTTTATATCCTTTTAAAAATCTATTATTTATTTATTTTTATGTGGTACTGAGGATTGAACCCAGTGCCTCACATGTGTTAGGCAGGCGCTATACCACTAAGCCACAACCTCAGCCATTTATCTACTTTTTACTTGGTATATAATAATTCTATATATTTATGTGGTATAGAGTAATAGTTCCATCCATGTATACAATGTGTAATGATCAAATCATGATAATTAGCATTTCCTTCACCTCAAATGTTTATTACATCTTTGTGTTAGGAACATTCAAAATACTTCTGAGCTTCAATAATACAGCTAATTTTTTAACTGTGTAGCCACCCTACTTTGATATAGAACAGTAGAATTTATTCCTATTCTTTAACTGTATTTTGGTACCTATTGTCCATCCTCTCTGTATTCTCCTTCCCTTTTGCAGCTTCTTGTGACTTTTATTATACCCTCTCATTCTATGAAATTAACCATTTTTAACCTTCCTTATATGGTTAAGAACATGCAACAAATATCTTTCTGTAATTAAAACATGGATTTTCAGACAAGGGATTCAAAGAGTCTTGCAATTGAAAAATGTTATTTGACATTTTTAGCTGAAGAACTGATGGTTCTTTCAAGCAGTTGCTGCAATGAACAACAAAATTTTTTGCAACTTTTATTTTCCTGGGCAACAAATTCATATATTACTGAAGTTATTTTAAAGAGGCCAGTGGAATACAAATTTTCATTAATGTATTTTTGGCAGTGAATGGGATCAAACCCAGGGCTTCTTGTATGCTAAGCAAGCACTCTTACCACCGAGCTAAAGCCTTAGCACAACTTTTGTTAATGTAAGTTGTATATATCATTTCAGTTCTCTTTGCTTTCTTTTATATAACTTACAGTTTAGTGTGGGAAATAGTATATAGAAGAAAAGGACAGGAAAGAGGTTCTGATAAGGACATAGCTCTTTGAAAGTAAGTTAGGGTATACTATTGCATTCACTCCTTTATATCCCATCCAACTTGTTTTCTTATTAGGAAACACCTTGAGTGGTAAAGGGAAGGTTTCTCCATACACTTCTTCCCCACTAACAAGCAGCTTAAATAAGAATGTAATTCTTCAAATTTTTTTTAGAGTGGCAGTAGTCTTAATATCAATCTTTTATTTAGTTTATCTTTTAATTTTTTTTGTTCTTTCTTAGCAAAGATAATATCATTGCCAAATTTTACTTGCTTTTTCTCCTCTTTACTCCAGTTTTTAGTATAGTGCCCTCAGAATTGTTCAAAGAATGACCGAGAGTGAATTCTGGATTTAGACTTGCTGTGAGCAACTAATTAATAAATTATCAGATTCATTCCATCAATGAATCTGGAAGGTTGTGTCTCTTGAGGACTTGGGCTTGGTGATATCGGAGAGAAAGATTATAATTACCCTGCAGGATGTGGCCAAAGATTTGAAATTGTTTCTGAATGGCTCCACTGCAGCTTCAAGAGCAGGCTTCCACCAGATGCCAATCTTTAACATTTTTATAGGCAACTGGATGATTTCAAAGGAACATTATTGGTTTAGATGGGAGGAAATTGTTCTGGTGACACAGAGGAAGCAGGAGAAAATATGAAAGATATTGTAGAGACAAAAGAATTTCCTTATACCTGGCCCTAGGCTGCCATACTTGAAGTGACAGAAGCTCCTCCGTCTGTGGGAGGGTTCAACATCCCACATGACCATAGCTTCCCATCTTCCTGGCAGCAGATTTTTATGAACAAACATATTTCCATAGGCTCTAGGGAAAAGAGAGTTGGGGGACAAAGTCTACAGATTCTGTGCACCTGGATTCAGACAACTGTTAACTGTGTCATCTACGCTTAGACTGCTTGGTGTTTGAGGTCAAATTGTTTATTACCTAGGAGGTTAAATATAACTCTCATATTGGCTCATAAAAAGAGAGGCATGGATTTGGAGGTCCCTTTGCTATAGCAGTGTAGCAAATTATATTCCCGTATATTCCAGTCCAAGCAGTCTTCATATGATGCCAAAAAGAACAAAAGGTCACAGGTACCTGCTGGCCCTTTGGTCTTTAAGCTCTTGTCTGTCCATTTATAAAACAAACGCTGTTTTATCCATAGATAGAACTTAGATTTCACTGGTAATTATACATGTTGTGGTAGACCAAAGGGGCCCATATCAAAGGTGATCTTTTTTTTTAATATTTTTATTTTGGAGAGAGAGAGAAGAGAGAGGGAGAGAAAGAATTTTTTAATATTTATTTTTCAGTTTTCGGTGGACACCTTTATTTTATTTTATGTGGTGCTGAGGATCGAACCCAGCGCCCCACACATGCCAGGCAAGCACGTTACTGCTTGAACCACATCCCAGCCCCTCAAAGGTGATCTTTATGTCTAAGGACATGGAAAACCCCAGGAGGAGAATCAGATTGCATTCTTATGTGCTTTGCATATACTTCTATAGCAGCACTATTAACCACTGAAAATATTCTTTGAAATATTTTTGTATTCTCCAGTATGTGGTTTGCAATCCAATTTGCAAACATTAAGAGAGCATACTTGAGCTGAAAATATCTGGAAGACTGCTATATCCTTTTAAATTGTTTTTTTTTAGTTGCAAGTGGACACAATATCTTTATTTTCTTATTTTTATGTGGTGCTGAGGCTTGAACCCAGTACCTCACACATGATAGACAAGCACTGTACCACTGAGATATGACATCAGCCCTGCTATATCCTTCTTGAATGGACCCATGTTTATATATGCTATCATATAAATGTCTCTATTATTATAAATTATTGTCAAATATAGTTAAAATATACTTTCTATTTTAAGAGTGTTTTGTGTTACTTGTTGACAAATTATAAAACATGGAATATTATAACAAAAAACTCAGCAATGGGTGATTTGTACTTACCTGTGCTAACATTACCCCTTTATCAGCACAAGTAATTAAAAGCTAACTGTATTATTTCAAGAAGTTGAACACAAAACCAAGATGCACAGGAAGAATGTAAGCCATGAATATTGGATTATATAATGAAATAATGCCTTTACAACGTTTATCTAAAAGATAATCATAATAAAGGGGGAAACACCCTATGAGTGTCATACAATCATCAGAGACTATTAAACAGTACAATAATATAGAGAAGTGCATTTAGTTCTTATGAATAGTTTTTCAGATCTGTACAGTGAAAAGCTAGACTGACCTAGGGGGTAAAAATCCTTACATTGTTAACAAAATATCTTCTAGCCCCATAAATCATGTGTAATCACTTGTTAAGGAAAAAATTCCATAACTACGTGGGCAAAAAGAATGTAAACTTTTACTTTTTTATGCATTTCAAAATTCACTTATATTGATGTTCCTTCCACCCCAATCCATCCCATTACCAAACAGGAATGAGCTAAGGAGTGACAAAAATATTCTTCTTTCTCATTTTCTTCCTTTTCCCTTGGAATAAACCAAGACTTCATTAGATTTTTTTTTGAAGTTGGAAGGATAACAAAAGTCTCAAAATTTCCTTAAATAAAATAGAGTGAATAAGTAAATAGGAATTCAAATGGCAGTAAGCTAGTAAGCCTCAATATAAACATAAGATAGTTTCACTTTAACAGGGAAGTGTTAGAAGAGAGGTTTCCTGAGAGGCACTCATTTAAAAAATAAATTATAGCTTAAATTATTACTAGATAGATTATTCCTGTCAAAGGCAGAAAGAATGAACATTTCCTCTCCTTTCATGAATCTTGTAAGGCTAGGGTATAGTGGCTTAAAAATGTCATATATTGGACTGTAAATCATGGTTATTTATGGTATTCTCAGGCTGGGGAGATAGCTCAGTGGTAGAGCACTTGCCTAGCATGCCCTGGGGTCAATGCTGAGCACTGCAAACAAAACAAAACAAAACAAAACATTATTAACATTAGACATTTTTAATGGGTGTAAAAAATTATTAAAACAGCCATTTCATTTCTCCTTCTCCTAATCTAGCCACATAAATCATCTCCAATAGATGATACAGATTTCAGCATTAATTTGTAAAATATTCCAAGAGTTGGCATAGTCCCAAGAATTAGAGAAAACTTCCACCCACTTATAAACTCCCAAAGTAAATGTAAATACAGCGTGGTTCTCATTTTCTTTCATATAATGCCACATAACCCCAAATAACTTTGTAAATACCTTATGAAGAAAACAAAACCTTAAAAACCTATCAAAACTAGTTAAAATATTTAAATGCAGAAAACTCAAATTTCCTTCCATCAGGTCACAAATCACCCCAAAATTGGAATCACATTTACAAACAGAATGAGTAGAATGTTTAGGACAACCAAAACAGCCCCATGTAACTTTAAAAATGTAATCATTTACTCAAATACATTTCAAATGGGAATGGTGATAGCACAGGAAGCAAAAATAAGTTCGCAATTGAAGTTTCTAGAAGCTCATGAAAACAATAACATCCCATGTCGCAGATGCAAAAAGAAAAACAGTTCTAATGGAGTTAAGAGTACTCTGGTCATCTTCGTTCCTTTAATCTTGCAAGGTGTTAACTATTTTCACTTCCCTTGTCACAAAGTTAGTCCACAGGAGGAGCTGGTGGATCTTGTCCATTATGAGGACTAGTTGGCTTTCCGGATAAGTTGGATCCTCTTAGATTAGGTGGTCTCAGCAAGAACGCGATCACTGCAATAACCATCCACGCCATCAAGATCATAGTAATATCGATGCCGTTGTCACCGGAGGGTCCTGGTAATTCCTGAAGACATTCTGTGTCCGTGCAGTAGGACTGGGACTGCCGCAACAACTCGATCAGCCTTCGCATCACTTGATCATGAGAGCAAACACATTCACAGGGATCGAATCCACCTTCTGCCATGATCGCTCAGCTTGATTTTACTTGACTGTTTAAATCCGTCCAGGACACAACCCACCGACCGGGTGAGGAGGGAAAGGGCCGCGACCTAGTCTCGACGACGGAAAGACAGCACAGGGCGTCTGGCTACCACTGCTCCGGAAGCTGCTGCTGCTGGTGCTCTGGTCCGCGGTCCGCAGTGTCCTCCCCTTCCTCTGTTCGGATTCGAGATTGACCACGTCACTCTTAGCCACAAGACTGGGATCTGCCGCCCCCAGATGGCGGCTCAACAGATTGCAGCGCCTCAGCAATGGGTGATTTATAAAAGTTCCATTTCACCGCATCCTTATGAATTATATCTATGATATAGTCCCTATTTTTAAGTAAAACACTAAGTGTTCCCTAATATGATAATTTTTAATCTCAGTTTTTATTTTTCATTTAAAGTTACTAGAATATTTAAAAATATTCTAATGTAATTTGAACTGTTTTTTGGCTAATTTTCTATCTTAATTTTTACTCATTTATCCTTTCATTTTTCATAGTGCTTTAATTTTTTTCTTTTCAGTGGGTTTTTTGTGGTTGTTCATATAAAGAATATTAATCCTGCATCATGTTGTATGAAGAACAATCACCCTGATTATGTTTTCTCAAGATTGCTAATGACTTTTACTATTTTTATTTTTATTTTTAAAAATTTAAATTGATAAATAATAATTGAATATATTTATGGGGTACAATGTGATGTTTTAATATATGTATATAACTTAAGAGATGAATGAGTTATAAAAGGGACTGGGCAACCGATTGTTTACCTCAGAATGGTGACATTGTGGATGATCACTTATTCTACTCTTCTGTATTTTGTGATTTCCTAAAAAGAGAATACTTTATTAATCAGAGAAGAAACAAAGACTATTTTACATCAAGAAAATTATAGTGAAATCATTTATACTGAAAAATATTTGGTAAGTAGGAATGTGCTATCATGAATATATTTTCTTTATAAATCAGTGTTCCTTTTTATGCATCAGCTGAAGCATGAGTGGCAGGCAGGGACTTGGTTTCCAGTTTTTTCTTGGTTAAAGTTAATGGAGCATAGTATTTTGTGTCCCCCAAAAGGCGAAAATATTTGCTATAATAGCATCTCTTAATATTTGTACCACCTTTATCTTTATTTCTTATATCACTGAAGTAAAAAAGGCTAATAACATAATGCTCAGTAAGCAGATTAGAAACAATGGCCCATAAATCCTAACACTCAAGGAGGTCTCTACTTTTCAGAGTAGCCACTTAATGAGTCTGTGATCTGTAGATTTGTCTGAGCCCAATTCAAACATACTTAGATCTCCTCATCTATCATCATTTCTGTGAGTTTGAAAAAATATTATTTTTGTATAGTTTCTTTTTGTTCATTCAAAACTTACTCAGGTTGACCCACCTATTGACTCCTAATCTTCTCAACTATCATTACTCTGGAATTCTTTTCTTTTCTGTGAAAGCAGCATCAACAACACTAATTCTCTCACTAATCTGTTGTCTGTTTTTAGCTATTATAATAACCTGAAGGAACCAGGAACCTATGGCACATATTTTTGTGGACACTGATCTAACAAATGAAACCAGGTTTTCCTCTTTTTTTCCTACCTCAGATTCCCTGGGCAATGTAATGTCATTTCTAAGATTAAAATTAGAACACAAGCATTATAAAACTGGTATTTGCTAGATTTTGCAACTCCAGCTAACAATTAATATGAATTTTGAAGATGACTAAATAGAGGTACCTAACACTCATCTCTTCCTCCACAAAGAAGAACCAAAGGAACAGGTGAAATTGCTGCATTTTGAGATGAGTGACAGACAAAATGCTGGAACTCAGCAAGAGAGATTGGAAAGAAATAACACACCTCAGCAATTGTCACTGCAGCTCTCTAGTGAGATGTGTGGGGGCTCCCCTTTTCAGGGGTAGGGGTGAATGGGAAAGTCCCTGCAGTCTATCAGTGTAGAATCCAGAATCCTAGCTACTGCAAAATTTCACTGCTTGAAGTACTGTTAGCAGAACCATCTGGAGTTTGTACTGCAACTTTCTTTAGAAAAGTAACTCATGTCACCCTTCCCACTGACTCTAGATCCCAGCCTGTTATGAATGGACACCATCTTAAGAGGGGAGCTATTGTCCAAATTCAAGCTGTTTTAAGTGTCAGAAACCCCTGCATATCCTCATCTCTGGGATGCCACGGACATTCCACCATGTTGGCATGGGGGATTGCAGTCTCATGGATCCAACTTGGCTCAGCAAAGCAATTTGACCCTAGTACTGAAGCCTACTTGGTGTTCTGCATTGCAGGAGAGAGTAGGGCCCTTGTTCTTGGGAACAAGGTCACGGCCAGGTGCATGTGGACTTGTGCCAATGCCAGGACTGAAGACAGATGCCCACTTGGTCCCCACTGCTGCATCATCTCCATGCTTCCTCTGGGAGCATGTTTCTCTTCTACTGGGGACAGAAACTCACAACACATTCCTGCTGCTGCTGTGCCACCCTGCACTCTGTTTGGGTATGCAGTTCAGTCCAGACTGAGTGTAAATGCCACAGAGGGGGTCCTGTGGTTCCGTTGCCACCTCTCTCTGTGCATGGTGAGGGACAGCCTACTGCTTGGTATAAGGGCATGCATGTCATGCCCAACTTGGCTCAGTGCCAGAGGCCCTTGTGGCAGCAGAGCTAACTTCATCAATGCCTGAAGAAACACTCTTCACCTGACTGATGCTGCTACTCCCATTGTATAAGTCTCTGCACAGTGGGCATCCCACATCCATTCATGTATATGCTACACCTGCATGAGCTTTTAGATTGTCCCCACCCATTCGTAGTCTCTGGAGATTGTGGATCTCTTCAGCTGTACCATTCCATGCACTGTGCTTATAATCTTTAATTATAAAAGATTGTACGTGGGCCTGAAGTACATACCCTTATACCAAGAAAGTTATAGGAAGATTATACTTTGGCGTCCAACTGGAACCAAAGTAAACATTGCATGCACACCAAACTGCTGCCTCAAGACACATATTCAGGAGGAATCTGTTGACTATGAAGGACATCCATAGAAGTGATAGAAATAAGTGATTTGTGAGAAGCACAGGTTTCAATGTAGGAACACAAGAATATTATAAAACACAATAACATGATGCCTCCAAAAGAATATAATAACCTTCTTGCAATAGATTCCAAAGGAAACAATATTGATGAGAAGCCTTATAAAGAATTTAAATAAATTTAAATAAATTGATATTGGCCAAATTACATTTGTTATATTGTGTGCATATATGAATATGTAACAACAAATCCCATCAATATAATGTACCAATAAATATGATACACCAATACATATAATGTACCAGTAAAATATAATGCACCAATAAAAATTTGGAAAAAATGTAAAAAGTAAAACAGTAAAAAAGAATAGAGAAATCCCCAAAACTAGTTTTTCAAAGTTTAATACAAGTTATGACCCTATAGAAATTAAAAGGATGCTATGAATAACTCTATGCACATATCTTTGCAAATTAGATTAAAATGGAAGGATTGCTTAAGGTACAAACTACCAAAGTTCAAACAAAAGTAAGTAAACTCAATAAATGCATATGTATAGAAAGATCAAATTTATAGACATTCAAGAAAGAAATGTCTAGGCCTACATACATGTTTTCACTGGGAAATCCTACCAAAATTTAAGAAGAAATAACACCAGGCTGGGGATGTAGCCCAGTGATAGAGCACTTGCCTAGCATGTGCAAGGCCCTGCATTCTATCCCCAGCCCCCAGTGAAGGAGAAGAAGGAGGAGGTGAAAGAGGAGAAGAAAGAGAAAAAAATAAGGAGGAGGAGGAGGAATAGGGGGAGAGGGAGAATTTTGAATTCAATATAAAAAATAATGCATCATGATGAAATGGATTTATCCTGAGAATATGGAGCTGGTTTAATACTTAAAAAAAAAATCAATGAATACAATCCACCACTAACTTACCAACACCACCAAGAACAACCCAGGCATATGGTCACGACAATTGATGAAAATTTTTATTTTTTAATTTATTTTATTTATTTTTTTAAAGAGAGAGAGAGAGAGAGAGAGAGAGAGAGAGAGAGAGAGAGAGAGAGAATTTTTATTTATTTATTTTTTAGTTTTCGGCGGACACAACATCTTTGTTTGTATGTGGTGCTGAGGATCGAACCCGGGCCGCACGCATGCCAGGTGAGCGCACTACCGTTTGAGCCACATCCCCAGCCCAATTGATCAAAATTTGATAAAATTCAACAGCCATTTATGATAACAAAACAAACACAAATGAATAAACATCTCAGTAGACTGCAAGTACAAGGAAGCTTTAAATTGATATAGAGAAACTACAAAAATTTCTGTCTTATATTACACTCAGTAGAGAAAGACTGTTTTCTTCTTAACACCAGGGATATGGCCAAGCTGCCACTCATGACTGCCAATCAATATTGTACTTGAAGTTCTAACCAGTTTAATAAGGCAAGAAGAGGAAATAGTGGCTTACAGAGTGGGAAGGAGGGAAAACAACTACTCCAACTCACAGAAGTTTTGATTATCTACATAGAAGATCTTATAAAATCCATAATAATACTTCTAGAGTGAAAAAGGAAGTTGAACAATGTTTCAGGATACATGTTCAACAAAAATGCAAAGTACTTCTCAAAGTCAGCGATGAGCTGTTGGAAATCAAAATGTAAAACAAAATAAAATGGCACTGGTCTACATGCCTCCAGCCAGTTTTGTTTCATGTCAGGGTGGGAGGAGGGAGGACCTGGGCACCCAGTAGGGCTGCAGAAGGGAAAGACTCTGGGCGGCAGAAAGGGGGAGATTCTGGGAAGAGAAGAAACACTAATAAAAGGGAAGGTAGAGGGGCCCTGTAATAAAACTAGTCGAATATTCAGTTCAAATTTTATTCAAATTATTTAGTTCAAATGAAATACATGTGGTTTCTTTCAGTGTTCTGGAGCAGTTTGTAAATATGTCAGTTCTTCAGGGCTTTCTAGGGGGAACTAGCTAGGAAATTGAGCATAACCTCAGAAATGTATGTAAGCAAGTCCCTGCTTGAGGCACTCTTGTGGGTGGATGGAATGCAGAGTGAACTCCAATACGTAAAGGTGGGGGAAACACACACACAAGAAAACCCATCCAAGC